ACTAGTAGGACGACACGCGCACACACAAAAACCCTACGCAACATAAAAAAGTGTGAATTTATATATATAAATATATATATATATATATATATATATATATATATATATATATTTGATTGATTGATGTGAGTTTGTGACCCTGGGTTTCACGCTTTAGCGTTGTCTGACGATCGCTAAAGCGTGAAACCCAGGGTCACAAACTCACATCAATCCAACCAAATATGTTAGCTCTATCTCTGATATTGAGCGCTTTCTAATAAGTACCGCGCATATAATATATAAATAATTATACATATATATATTTATTTATATTTATATACACTTTTCACACACACACACACACACACACACACATATATATATATATATATATATATATATATATATATAAAAGGAAGAGGTTATAGTAATTCCAACGAGAGAAAAGTGGGTATATTAAAAAGAAGAGAGAAACCGCAAACGTTTTTGGTTGTAATGTGGATTTTATAAAAAAATATTATGCTTTATTTTCTATGATTTTGTTTTTAATTATGGAAAATAAAGCATACTTTTTTTTTTTTAAATCCACATTACAATATATTTATAGAAAAGGAATATATATACACATACTAGCAAAATCTCTCTCACTAAGGCACAATACACAAAACTGTTTAAAAAGATAGAAACAAAGTCCTCTCCACTGCCTTTAACCGGGTGTTGAACTCACACTCTTTGGGTCCTGTCACTGGACTTAACAAACGCAGTTATCCACGACGCTATGTGTCCTCGAGGTATTGTAATTAACTGGAGATAACTGATAACTGACATCCATTAAAACATGGCATGTGGAACTAGAACAGTCTACCCCAGGGAGCGAAATAAAAAGGCTCAGTTCGACATTCCAACCACCTGAAGAAAACAAGGAAAAATAATCCCTTTAAATAATATGTGGAAATAAGCATTCTTTGCCTAATGATGAAGGTCACAAGATCTGAAAATAAAGTATAATATATATTTTAAAAATCAATATTATAATCAAAAACGTTTGCGGCTTCTCTTTACTCAATTAAAATACACGACTTTGTTTTCGACCTGACGGTATTTTCAGGCAATATTTTTTAAAATAATCACCTTAACGCTTTATTTAAAAAAACAAAAAAAAAAAAAAAAAAAGAACGCTAAATAATTATTTTTCAAAAATAAATTAACAGACGCATGACGATCGAAAAAATTGACATTGAGTGTAATAGAAAGGAAGGGGGTATGTAGAAGAAAGAAGAAGAAAGAAAGAAGGGTGAAGAAAAGAAAAGAAAGAAAGAAACAGGAATGCAAGTGTATTGTAAATGAATACAGTAAAGAAGAAAAATAAATATGTAACTTAAATGTAAGGGAGGATAGGGAGGCGAGTGTATCTTAAGAATAACATTAGGGTTTTAAATTATTTTTATTTTTTTTATCCCGCCTCATAATAAAATAATAATTTTTTTTTTTGATATATGGGAAAGGACTTAAAATTTTGAAGTTTTGTTTTAAAACATTTTTTGGGTCCGGAAATGTCAAAATCGCTAATTTAGTTTGCAAATGCGGGTATAATTGTTATATGGTTTTACCTTTTTAAAAATTTTGATGACCACTACATCACGTCGATATACTCAAATAATAATAATATTTGTCTTGACAACGTTCGATATTTTGCGATGAGAACATCGTCAGGACTAGGCAGACGGAAAGAGAGAGGTACAAAGACCTGGAAGAACAAATCATCGAGATCTACTAAGCAACTGTTCAAGATGTCCATTTTGTGCTTGACGCACTCGGGACTATTTCCAGGAATCTTTCTGCCTCGAAAGATGCTTTAAGGAACATCTGATTATCATTGGGAGTGCGCAGGTGCTAGCTGAGGATAGTGTTCTGTCTCCAAGCTGCGAGTAGAAGCTGAGATATAGCCATTATCACCCGACCAAAACAACTAAGAGTTGGAGGGGATCTCAAATAATAATAATAATAATAATACTTATTATAAAACCCAGGCTGTGTGTGTGTCTGTACGTTTATATATTGGATCGGATTTCCTACATTTTTCAACCGATTTCAACAAAACTTCACAGGACTACGTAAAATTACCTTGCTGTTGTTCTGACAGCGCCAAAAATTGGAAAAACACAATTGTTTTTGCACAAAATCAATTTGAAAACACAATTAAGATGCATCACGATAATGAAAGGGGGACAACTCATATCGAGTTATACTTATTATAAAACCCAGGTTGTGTGTGTGTGTGTGTGTGTGTGTGTGTGTGTGTGTGTGTGTGTGTGTGTGTGTGTGTGTGTTCGTTTATATATGAGATCGGATTTCCTACATTTTTCAACCGATTTCAACAAAACTTCACTGGTGGGTGGAGCAGGTAGTGTTTCTTATTGTCTTGCACACTTTTTTTTTACATTCAGAATGCTTTTAAAATTCCATTTACAAGACAACTGTTTATAATAAAATTCTATTCAATCGGTAGATTCATAACGATTGAAAACAATGTTTTTGTTTGAGTTTGGCTTTGACCAATTCGTAAAAAAAACAAAAAAAAAACTAATTAAGACATGCTTGTCCGTCAACCTTAAACAATAATCTTTGTCATTTTTATTTTTCCGTCTTTATGATAGTCAATACTTGATATCTATCTCTTACTGTTACATCCCCGGGCAACGCCGGGCTCTACTGCTAGTATAAGCTAAAATTCAATGGCTATCCACAATTTCTCTCTTCTCCTATGAGCCTAAACTTTTCAAGAAGTGAGTGTCCCTGGATCTATACTGTATCCTTTCTTTTTAACCTTTTTCGGGGTCGTCTATGTTCTTCCACCCATCCACACAACTCCATTAAGTACGTTATTCGCTTTTTTTCCTGGCTTCTCTTGGCTTCAGCATATCTTGTGATTGGTAGATTCTCTGTGTACATCTGAAAGTCCAGAATGTGTTTTTATGGTATTCCTATATTTCGTTGGTAGAACTTGTGAGGGATTCATACTCATCATAGCAGGAGAAATTAGTTTCGTGTTCCCGGGGATAAAAGCATACTTGACAGAAAATAAAACGTACAGATATGACAGGAAAAAGCATGGTCAATTGTCTGTTAATTTCATAAAATTTATTTATATTTCTGTGTGTATTGGTTTGTGTATTTTTTTAGTTTACAATTGTTCTACGGTAATGTGATAAAGGGGAGAATTTACTCTGTAAAGCCATATCACAGAGAGAAATCGGACACGTGTTGCCCGTACCAAGGTTCGTGGTGAAGAGATTGAATTTAATGTCTTTTGGCGGGATTTTCGTACTTTCGGCAGGAACAGTTTTTGTTGCATGCTGGGAGTATTTTTTATTATTTTCAATTTTTATTTATTTTATGCAATGTTTTTATGTTATTACTTTATTTTATTTTTCTTATAAGTTTCATCATCATCATCATTATTATTATTTTATATTTTATTTTTATTTATTTATAATAAGAATAATAATATTGCTACAAGCTACATCTCTTCTTTTTCATGTAAAGAGATAGTCCAGCATCCACCGCTATATACATGGTGATTGAAAAGTAACTCCCCATATTAGAATACTTATAATTTATTTATTAACTATAATTTTTCCAAGAAATGGATATGAGAGGTACGCTTTTAGCATGAGGTTTTATTTAAAATTCCATATGAGTACCAGATTTCGCTGCCAGCTTCTCGAGCCGCCCAGCAATCGTGTCAACTGATTTCACCAGAAAAAAATATATATATATTTACCATTATCGTACCCTGTGATTTTCTAACTACTTAGTGTTGCAAAACGTGTCTTAATGGACTATTCACGATCAGTCATTAGAGATCTTCAGGGAACTTAGTTTTACACAGTGATTATCCTTTCTCTTTGTAAATGGCTCTAAGATATTAATAATGTAGCCTTGCAAGCACCGATAAGCACTCGAGTGAATACTACTGAACTGACTTAAAAGAGAAAATAGACTATCTAAATAGTCAGACATAGCAAGAAAATGACTTCTATATAATAATAAGCCTATTCATTTGTATCTTTTATGCCTTGCAAAAAGCCTTGACCATACGCGTTATCGAATGTTTCATGGTTTTGTTTAAAATATTAATTATACCTTGCACTTTCAGTTGTCAATAGAAGACATCTGAAAAACACTAATAGATTTTGGAGTCGAAGTGAGATTAATGGCGCAAACAGGTAAATGTTTGCCTTGAATGTACGTATTATCGAATGTTTGAAGTAAAGCAACTAAAATATTTACCATTATTTACACTGTCATTCGTCAATAGTCGACATTAAAAGACGAATAGACTATGAATTCGAAGTCAAATTCATGGAACAAACAGAAAAGAATGAACAATACATACACAATACGCTTATATTACTTACAGATATCAACCAAATATATATATATATATATATATATTTATTTTTTTAAAGTGGGGGTTCACCAGGTACAAGTCCAGTGAGCCACTCAAGTTAGAGGCTTACAGATTAAGAAGCACAGTTATTGCGAATATGTAAGGAAGGTAACGGTTAATCCTTTACTTGAACAGGTTAAGATTACAGTGATCGGAAACATCCTCTTGGGAGGCGGTTTCCCAGGACAGTGGATCGCGGGGTGAAAAAAAAATCCGCTTGAGTGGAATTTACTTTTCACCAATGGAACACGAAGGGAATTGAGCGGGGGGGGTCGCTACAAAAAGCGAAGGTAAAAATGTTGGTTAATTGATTTGTTTTTACGGTTTATCAATCTTTTTGATGATATTAAAGCCGAAACATATTTTGGGATTCTAAAAATATTTTGCAGATAATAATGCTTTTCGGATTCATGCCTTAGCGCTGAACCCATAGCTGACAGGATAAGAAGCAGATTCATGCCTTTTCTAAGGTTATTTGCCCGACTGGAATTCGAACTCGATTTCTCATTCCGAGTTCTTAGCCATTACTCCACCCTTAGAGCACCTAGCATTACCCAGAAATCATAGGTTAGAAACAGACTTCACTAGAGTAGCAGAACCCAACATAACACAAACATAGATAGATAGATAGATAGATAGATAGATAGATAGATACATATGAAAAGACAGGTACAGATAGCTTATGTGATAGAGGGATTGATAGTGTTTTGAAGGCAGCACAGCATTTCTAGTAGAGATGTCTTCTACTCTTATACAACACAGCATAGAGTACAAACACAGATATGTGAAAAGGAAAGCTCCTCCTTGAAGAATTAGCCGAAAACACCTGCAATTTTCTCCTACATTATTTCTTATTGCTATAAAAATTATTTATAGGCGTGTACACGTATTTTGAGTTGCTACCCCTGTTTTTTAGGGGGTTTTTGTATTATTAAACAATGAAATTAATTTTATTAAACAGTGAAATTAATTTTATTAAACAGTGAAATTAATAACAGACTTCCTAAATTTAATTTCACTGTTTAAATATCATAATTAATATAAAGAAACAGTAAAAGAAACTCAAACCGTAAATATAACGTCTGTAGTAATAAGAAATATTCAGGGTGTATCATAATAATTTTACAAGCTTTAGGGGCGGTTTCCTCACAACAACACAAGAACAAAAATCCATATAAACATGTCCGCAAATCCTTGTTTTTTTTTTTAGTTATTAAGTTTAAAGAAAGTTTACGGTAGCTAGCGATGTGTTACACATAGACTAGGTTACATTTGTTATTCGTGTATATTTCTGGCTATTCTGCCCTCAACGTTTAACGTGTGTAGTAGTGAGTTAACTGAGAAGTGTTCTGTTTAAGAATAGCAGGACATTCATATCGTGAGCAAGTAGATATGATATTTACATACGGTTGCGCGTATGGTAATGGACCCGTGGCTGCACGGCTGTATTAGATTGCGTTTCCAGATGGCAACCGAGTCATCCAAAATTTGCTATTGTTTATCGTCGCGTTGCAGAGACAGGGTCTATGGCACCACAAACTATGGATCGAGGAAGACTGAGTTCCGCTCGTACGCCTGACAACGAAAGAACACATTCTACAGGCATCCGTGTTTATATATACGATCCAGCTATCAGCACCCGTCAGGTGGCCCTAGCATGTCGTACATCAAATAGTACCGCATGGAGGGTACTTCAAGAGCAGCTCCTGTATCCGTATCATTTGCAACGTTTGCGGGGTCTTTCGACCCCTTATCACCCACCACGAGGGAACTTTTCCCGATGGTTTATTGCACAAACTGCCGATCTGTTGTTTGTCTTTTCAGTCTTGTTTACGAATGAGACAACATTTGGAAGAGATGGAATAACAGATGTTTGCAAATGTATTTTGGGATTCTATCTTGGATTGTACTTTTGACAGCGGCTATGTGAAAGTATGCGGAAAGGAATATAAAGGAGAGACAGGCCACCCCCTCAAGGTAAGGCTTCAAGAACACCAGAAAGCTGTAACACGAGGGGAAGTGGAAAAATCAGGCGTGGCTGACCACATATGGAGAGAGAAGGGAGATTCCCCCCCCCTGTGGGATCATGTTGAGATCATAGACAGGGAACACCATTGGAAAATTCGTAAACTTAAGGAATCAGCACATATGCTAGGCCACAAAAATCTCCTGAGCCGACCAAGCATAGAAATAAATACAATATGGGAACCAGTAATAAGGAGTGCCAGAGAAAAGCAATGATAACAAAGTTGCAATATGAACTCTGGTAAAGACATGAAATGATAACAGCAAAATTGCAATATGAGCACTGGTAAAAATGATGCTGAAAACATTAGGTTTTATAATACTCAAAGAAGTTCATACCCAAAGATGTCCTCAACTTTTCTTAGGACACATGGCACAGTGGATAAAAGGCGTTGGCTAGATCCAGTGACAAATATGGCCAAAGATGAACAATTTGAAGTTCAATATATGGTTAATGGAGTCCTTGGTTTTTTGGTTGCTCGTTAATTAGTCCACATAAACACATAACGGATAACAATGACATCCATCAAACGTGGAACTAGAAAATAGTGTGTCCTACCCCAAAACATGATCGAAATAAAAGGTTCAGTTCGAAATTCCGACCACCTGAAGAAATTGGCCGGAAAACTAGTAGTCAACCCTTTAAATAGGAAACGTTGGTTAAAAATGAGACAAACAAATATGGCGACAAAGATGAGGACAATTTTAACAACTCAAAAATGAAGGATTTGCAGATATATGTTTATATGGACTTTTGTCCTTGGTTTTTCCCTTGCTCGTTAATTAGTCCACATCCTCAAACACATTGCCTTTGTGGCTTTACTTGCTTGGAACGAAAACAATATGCTGATCTGCAAAAGCTGTCTTCGTTAAAACGATCTACAGCAAGTCGTACCCAGGGATAACACCGTGTGTCCTATTTGCCTATTTCTTACCAAAACATATGCCTATCTTGAAATTAGGAAGGTTAAATTAGGGATGTGGTTATGCTCGACACTGAGTAGACAGTTAACGTTACTCAGGTATTTTTTAAATTGGCCCCAAAACTAGTAGTCTTGCACTTTAAATAGGAGAAAATTATTGTAAATGGTTAAAAAATGAGACAACATATTTTATTAGAAATTTTATTATGACAAAAAGATAAAAAAAGTTATATATGTGATCGTTGTTACAATTTGTATTATATATATATATATATATATATATATATATATATATATATATATATAGACAAAAGTTCATTTTCTCCAGCAAAAGACATTCATTTCTGTAGTTTAGTTTTCACATATTCAAAATATCCCAAAAAAACAAAAAAACATAAAAACAATACAATTTACGATGTTCTTTTCTACCAAAAAACAAAAAAAAGCAGAAATATTTCTTCTCCCTTTACATTTTTTTTATGAAATTATTTTGATGATGGCCATTTCGGTCGAAACTAGTCGAGTAATCTAAACGGAATAATAATAAAAAAAACGAAAGAATATTAATCTACGACCCAGTGTGTCTAAAGATTTTAATTTTTTTAGTTTCTTATTTTTCAATATATATATATATATATATATATATATATATAAAGAGAGAGATAGAGAGGGAGAGAGAGAGAAACATATATTGTTTGGTTTGGTTTAGTTTGGTTTGGTTATTTAATACCAACAAAATTTTTATTGTTGGTAATATTTTTTTTTTCAAAAACCGATTTCTGGTAACATTTTTTCTACAAAAATCTATTTCTGGTAATAATTTTCCTTCAAATATGTATTGCTGGTAATATTTTTTTTCAAAAATATATTGCTGGTAATAATTTTTTTTACAAATTATTTCAGATATTAAAACCTATTTTCATGGGGTTTTAACCCCAGTTTTGGGGCTTACCTTTTGTCCCATAGCTGGGGCCCTAACAGGTACTACCACCCCGGATCAGAGTGGACAGAGTTGGAAATCCAGGTATGATCTTAGTTTTTTCAAAATAAACATCAGCAATTAAGCAAAAATCACCGAAGCTCAAAATTTTTATTAAGAGGTGGTTCAACGCTCCTCAAAACCTGATCTGAGGCCTTGCTGTTGGACGTAATTTATCGTCTTACCCAGCACGCGGATGCAGTTTATCGTCTTACCCAGCACGGAAACATATATTGTATGCAATCATCATACGACTACCACCTTTTCACGTTGACTACCATAATACTTATTCAATAGTACATCCATACAAACTAATATTGCTAACAAACACCCAAATAAAAACGAAACTCCTCCTCTAACCAATATCCTTATACTTGCACAAAAACATTAGAATACTACAGAACAGCGACTGCAAAAAATAATGAAACGTAAATATTACAAGCAATATGATTTTAAAGAAGACCTAAAGTAAACACCATTCAACGTCGTCATCAATGTTTTAACTTTTAACATAAAAATATAGAATTATCTTTATTTTATCATATATCATTTTCTCTGTATCTCAATCAGTTGCTGTCTCATTCGGTTTTGTATATACCTCTTTAGGGTCTTATCTATCGATTCAGATATAAAATATTAATAAAAACGAAAAACAAAAATATATAAGCTATTTCATGTTTGTCTCGATGTCAGGTAAAAATAAATCACCATGAAAAATATCGACGCAAATAACAAAAGAACATTGCCTGTGTTGACGCCAAAATGTCTAACATTCTCTTAAGAACTAAGTTGATTTCTCGCTGTAACTATATCTGATTATAAACAAAATGTCCGACACCGATAAATATCGAATTTTATCTCGCCATCATTACATTTATGAAGACTAAATTTGAACTTTAATTACGCAGAAACATATCGTGTAGAGACGGTCGTGGAATAATTTGAAAGAAATTGATCTGTTGAGTGTTGACAATTTGTAGTTAAGCAGAATAATAATAATAATAATAATAATAATAATAATAATAATAATAATAATAGAAAATAATTATTCATACTGGACAAACAGAAAAAGACTGCCTAGCTGATTGAAGTCTCCTGTCCATTTGACATGAGAATTGAATGCAATGACAAAGACAATAACGACAACTACACTGATATTCTAAAAGTTTGGGAAGGACTACGAAAAAAAAAAAGTAATTATTATACCAATGCTCAATGAAGCGTTGAGGTGCAGAAAAAAAAAAAAACATGGAGGAGATCTGGCAGACGTTGGATTGGGATTCGAAAATAGAGTTCATTACAAAAATATTGCCTGCTCGGAACAGCTAGGATACTTCGAAAAATTTTGGCTATATTCTGTCGATGAAATGGACAGATGATCGGTTTATTTTCGTGGTGACCTAAAAAAATAAACATTTTACCAATAGTCAACACTATATGGAGCGAATAATAATAATAATAGTAATAATAATAAGAGATCGCACAGAAAAAGGTGCCTCCTTATTGATATGACAGTCCCTGCAGACTGCAACGTATCTTTAAAGATCATCAAAACGCTATCAAAAGGACCTTGAAATCGAAATCTCAAAAATGTGGCACATGGAAACATCAACAATCTCCGTTGTAGTTGGAGCCCTCGGATTGGTTGGAAAAGATTCCAGTAGACTAATTGAAGGGATTCCTGGAAGTCCATGCCTCAAAGAGATACAAAAACTTGTTCTCACGAGTACAGCCCACACCTTACGAAGGGCT